CAAGACATAGAGATAGATAGCATTAGCCATTAGCGACAGCAATTCCCTTAGGCCGATGCAATTAGGCTTGTCGATAGGTGGAAGGGTGTCAGCTGTCTGCGCTCGGAGAATGGACACAATAGGGAAGTTAGTTGATCCTCATTTACGGAGCAAACCCTATGAAATCTAATTATCGGAAGCACATAGTGCTCTCTCCGCTTCTAGTTTTGGGACTGATCAAAGGGCCTTGCTGCGTTCGCCGCAGTGCCGTAATAAAATTAAATTAATAACACTGAGCCAAAATGTATCGCGTGATTGAACAAAATATACGATTTTTGCTTGGAAAATCTGGTTGCTATATCATTCATGCGTTCACTACGTTACAACAAAAGGATCTGTAGAATTTGCCGTACTTCAATCTTCGCTCGCCGACCTTTGATCTATCAGAAATAATCCGCGAATTTCATTTTATTTTAGAGATTCGGCTTTCGGACTTTCGAGTTTTCGTTTTATTTTAAGAACTTTGCTTTCATATTTCGCTTTGAGATATTCAATCTATCTGCCCCGCAATTTTTGGATGGTCGTATTTTCGGTTTATTTATTTTCTGTAATTTTGATACTTTTATTGTACTTTACTGTACTGTACTTTACTATTGAACGTAAATACGCGCGAATAATCGCGAGCTTGAATTAGAACGAAATTACTGGCGCGAATCTACTTACGCGGACAAATACAAGTACACCAGGTGGAGGAGTAGATTGGCTAAGTAGGATGAGGCGCAAAGGACGGATGGTGGCTCTTCGTAGAATGGCTCGGTCGCAAGAAAAGATAAACGAAAGTCAGGAACTGACTACACAGGACGATATCGTATTCTCCATTTCGCCTCGTCGAGACGACGAGGAGAGACGCGGATGGGAACGACGAAAGAACGGGAATCCTGACTCGTGGGAATGGAAAGGTGGAGGCTGAGGGATTCGAGTCGCGAAAGGGAACTTTAAACTTCGCTATCTCTGCTGAGGCTGGAGTACGCAACGGGACCATACATGTAAGCTGCCGCGATATCGATCTCCGTGTAGCGAATCTCCATCGCGGAGTGTCTCTTTAACGGTGGTTTTGATAAGCTTCGACAGTTCTTGTCTGACACAGAACATGATCTTTGACCAGTTTTACTTTGAAGAAAATAAAAGAATAGCTCGATGAACAAAAAATTGAGAGAAACTATAATATGCATAAAGGCGCACATGAAATTCACGTTGAAAGAATAGTTTCGCTGAAGTATCTTACAAATTCGAAAATAATTTTATTGAACTATCAAAATAATTGTGTAGAACGCTCAAATTGATTGCTGGAATGTCAAAACCTTTTTACAGTATTGCTTATCATATATGAGTTCTGCTATAATTATTTTGATAGTCGAATAAAATTATTTTCAGATTTGTATGTAGCTAAAAAATTTTAGTTATTTTAATAAAATTGTTTTTTCCATGTAAATAATCGACATGTATAAGAATTTTATTTCAATCTTTGTTTTAGAATTTAGATTTCTGCAGTTTTTGGATTGTGTTTAATTACGAGAATTGTTAAACAAGAATAACCCAGATAACATACATGTCTAAAAACATAAAGACATTATAAAGACATTTTTTGGGACAGATATGTTTAAGAGATGTCTGAAAGACAATCATAAAGAAATCTTCTAGACAATGTGCTGTTGTCTAAGTAATACATAATTTTTTTTCAAAACGTGGTGTTGAATTGCAATTAAAAAATACAAGCATTTTATATACGTATCTAATTGTAAAGGAATTTCTTTTGAACAAAAAGGTAGAAACGCAAGAAATTTCGTCGTAATGTGATCAGGATTATTTTGTAAGATTATTGAATATAGAATTTCAACGCGAAAGCACAAAGGAAAGACGTAAAGGCGTTCTCTTAAAAATTCCTTCGCCGAGCTTAACAAGGTATAACGTTTAACGAGTCCTTTCCGAGCTTCGTCTCTTGCCGCAAGTAAATCGAAGATAAACCTTGGGATTTAACCGGGGCTTAACCTATGCTAAGCGTGCTAAACCTTCTAGCCTAGACTCGACCACATGGATGGCTGATTACATAGATTACAATGCAGTTTAATTGAGTTACGTTGCTAATGGCCGCAAACACCGCGCCCATTTTTCTTGCTTTTTCCCCCTTTTTATTGCTTTTTATTACATTTTATTTTTAAAAATATTATATATTTCATATATCGAAATTGTGTGAATTTAATTGGAAAAAAAACAACTCCATGTATATTAATCCGCACGTCCTTTTCACGTGATCCGTGGTACGAGTGACTAAGTGTTCTAAAATGCCTAATATATAATATGTTATCTCTGATATTTTATTTGGCGCTTTATGGAGCTTTATGAGTTGTGAGGCTGAAATATTCAAAATTTTGTTTTTTGTTTTGGCTCGTTTTTTTTTAGTCATTTCGAATCTATTTTTTTAACAGAATGGGAGTCATTTCTAATTAAATTCATCAATACCGATTTAATTTGAAAATTTTGAAGATAAACTTTCTAATTGTAATTTGTATCTTATCGACGTCTTATTGCTCGTATATTCTAATTATGCAATAAGATAAGTTCATCGGTACAGTTAATCGTGCACAAAATAATTAAATATCTTCGTACTATTGTCGTGAAATTACGCGAGCGAAAAATACGATAAATGAGGAAGAAAAAGGAGAAAGGGATTTCAACAGGGGACATCGTCGCGAGGCGCCGTGTCGAGCTGCCGAGATTATAAAACAATTGAATAAATCTGCCCCATCGAGCAGCGTCTAGAAGAAAGAAACGCGTCTCGGAGGAGAAGACAGAAGTGGTGGAAGAAGGAATCTCTGAACCTTCCCCTTCGCTTCATCCCTCGTGCATTCCCCAGTCTATACCCCAACCCCGCCAACTTCTCCAAGATTCAAATGGCCTCGTTTCAAATCGATTTCGAATTATCTTCGGCGAGCGGATTCTGGCGGAACGGGAGAGAAGCGGGTCCGCCGGTGTAATGGAGGAAACGGTATAGTGAGGTAAGAGGTATAAGAACGGAATGGTGGTGAGAGGATGACGGGAGGGAGGTAGTGGGGTGAAAAACTTAAAGGACTTTTACTGGCCGAGAAAACGTTTGTTGGCGAGACAAAGACGTCCGACTGTCGTTTCTCGTCTAATTAAATAGGTAGGACCACTTTCACGGACAATGCACTATGGCGTACGCAGACTCCGAGATATTTCTTTCATAATCTCGCGCTTGCGTTTCCCACCCCGCGTCCCGCGTGTCGAACTTTTGCCATGTTCAGCAAAGAGATGAGGAGATCAGCTAACAGCGAGATAAAGTAAAAAGATATCGCTTAATACAAGGGAAGAAAGTTTTTTACGGAATCACGAGAGGATGACAGAATAATGCATTCACCGTGGAATTCCAAGAAAATAACTCCCAATAGTATGTTTGATATTAGTTTTTAATAATGGACTTTGTAATTACGTTACGAACTACAACGTTTTGCCAGCAACTAGCCTGTAAATTAGGTAGTAAACGGCGGTCGCGGAACTTTCGAAGGCCGCCTCTCGCCTGATTAAGCGGTTCGACCTGCATTTGGCAACTGCACCGATGCCGGCGTATGCACCGGCTCCAGCTACTTGTTGGCTCTGACGTGCGGCTGTTCCACTCCGCTCCGAGTTCGTTCCCGCTGCAAGTTTCAGCAGAGTACGATATTAGCACTACATTCGTCCCGCTTCTCATTTTGTTACGAAAATAGGGACAAAGTAAGACATAATGGGGCTCACCCTTTTGGAGCTAATTAAAGTGGCAAATTTGTTACAGCGACAAATTTGTTACAGTAACCGTACGCTTCTCTCGCGACCGGTAAAACGTAAAATCGTATTTGTCGCGCGCATCTCCTGCTAGATAACGTAGAACATGTTACCCTGTTGTATCATTAACACGACGTCATTATGAACAGCATTGGATGACAATTTAAGGACAGATTTTTTTTATAAATCGGGAAATAGTCTTTAAATTTCTTTAAAAATATTAAAGGAATAAATCGAGATATTTCTTGAAATTTCTCGATTTTTAATAACTAACTCAAAATGAAATAGATTAAATTAAAATTTTGTAATGAATTAAACATAAGAAATTTGATTATTTATCAAATAAGAAAAATAATTCTATTTTATTTTCAATCGAGATTCATCATTTATAAATTTATATTCGAATATTATTGAACATTAAGAGTTGTCAAAAATAAAATTCTCTTATTTCATTTATTCTTATTTAATATCCACTTATAATTTGTTTATGCCTTTAATATTAATATTCAACAAAAATAGCTGCTGCTGTAATTTCAAGTAGGTCAAAAAACCAGCCAAGTACATAATAAATTAAAATATAATAGTTGTAGTAACATATACGTTCAGATGTGTTAATACAGATGTACAAACAGTAATAGTCTGTTTCGTTAGAACTTCTAATGATCCACATTATGCAAACACGACTCGTTAACTCGTTCGAGTCGCAACAATATTATATTGCGTGTGCAATAATATATACTGCAGATACACACTTCCTCGTAATCTTGCAAGATACTTCTCTTTTGTCTTTCGCGGTCATAAAAGCGCTCGGTCGACAGTGGTATTCCTTCGGGGATGAAGAAAAAAAATGATACGATAACGAACAGGTCGTAACAGGCAGGAAGACATCGTAGTGAGACGCGCTCGCGGTTGCGCTTATCTCTAATTTATCGCGAAATTAGAAAATAACGAGAAATGAAATCGCGAACTCGATCTCGTGGCAGAACAAGTCTCGCAGGACAGAGGATTGCTCTTTCCTCGTTCTTCTTCTCGTTCTCTTTCTCTCTCTGTCAGCTGTTTGATAAATATACATGTAGTACTCGCGTCAGTATCGTCAAAGTCTCGTTTTTGTTATACAATAAATTGAAATACAATAAATTGAAATGTTATACAATAAATTTTAATTGAAACCTCTTTTTTTGCAGAATCAAATCCTGGCCCATAACACGTCGGCGAGGATTATCTGGTCGAATCAGAGTCTCGTCTTGCAAAGTGTAACAAGAAGCAGTGCTGGCCGCTATGTTTGCGCAGCAACGAATGCTCTAAACGAGACGCGCAGCGAACCATTGCACTTTCGAGTTAAATGTAAGTTGATTTGTGATTAAAAAGTATTCACAAACACAGTCTTCGAAAAAAAATACTATCCTAAATCATCACGCGTTAGTGCATCTTGCATTTAAATTCTGAGAATTCATAAAATTATCTAGAAGCTATTGACGCGCAGAGATATTTAGTAGAGTGAAGGCACCACTTGTAGAATCTCCTACGACTTCCGCTCTTGCAGCAAATATCATTTAACCGTAGATCATACACAAGATTCGTTTACTGATAACAGACAATTTATATTCTAAAGCTTTATACATAAATTTATTGTGTGTACACCCCCGAGAATCACATTTGTCGTGAATATTTTAAGAGTGCTTAGCATTGGCTACATTTTTTAAATCCAATTCTCAGAATATGGCCGAATATGTCGACAGGAAGCCGCCTCTAAATTCCGCAAAAGAAGTAATTCGTAGCTTACGAAATATACGGCAGAACACGTGCGCGGTTCTCGCTCTTGAAAACTCTCTAGAGCACGAATTACCAAAGCGTCCTTCCCAGGTAAGAGAGATCTCAAACGGGAGAGGCATGAAAGAACCTCGTGCACTCTTGTAGGACGCACAATTTGCGAGGTATTTGGGAGAAAATCCGAAATTCCGTACCTAGACATTTTTTGGTGAAATGTCGCCTCATCTTAAGAATTTTCTGGAATATTCGAGAATATGTTCCGTTTACAAAATTAAATAAAAAATTAAATTAAGATCTTACCATTTCGAACGCAAGAGAAAGTAGGGAATTAGAGTCTCTTGAATTTTCTTAATTTGATTGTCGTAAAAATATGACGCGATAGGATTTTGTGTTCACTCGCGCGAAAGATAAGAGATGTCAAAGTAGAGAATTAGAGTCTCTTGAATTTTCTTAATTTGATCGTCGTAACAATATGACGCGATAGGATTTTACCTTGACTCGTGCACGGTAGTTAAATCTAATTCGCAAAACTATCCAAGAGCAATTGACACGCAGAGACATTTAGTATGAAACCCTAGCACAGTTTGCGAGATCACATACGAGTTCCAATTCCGCAGACAGGCGAGGGTCTTCCATATTTAACCGTGAGTCATGACGACCTCGTAAAGATACGGGAAATAGTCCCGGATAAACTAGCATCTCGCGAGCATCCACGAATGGAAATCGGGATGGTTTCGTGGTTTATTTCCTTGGATATTACGCCGTTGTTAGGAAAGAGGGCATAACATTTCGTTTACATCATCGACACTGTCGTATAATAATAATAGAATTTAAGAGGTAACCGAGAAACACGTGTACTTAAAGAAGATAGGATAAAATTCTTGTTCACTTTACGATTCGATATCACGTTCTAATTAATCGTTGCAAAGAAAAGACACACACATTGCATAAAAGAAAATTTTTTCAGGAAAAAGAGAGAGAAAAAAATAATTTATTATCTGATTTTCTACACTGACAAAAATTGATACACTGAGAAATATGAAATCTTAATTCATATTTCTTTGTACTAAGTAAACATTTACTTACAATAAATAAATTTACTTGTTAAAAAAATGACAGTTTCTAACTTATTTGTAACAAAGTTGTCTCGCATTTTTCGTAAATCTACTTGATTTATATGTATAGATTTTTGGTAGATTAATGTCACGTAATAATAGATTATTCATTAATATACGGACCTTATAAATATTCCAGACAAAAACCATGCCGAGATTTTGCCGATTTTGCAGGGTAATCGGATATTACACATACATGAAGGTTTAAAATGGAAATATATTAATTAATGGCTATATAACAAAATAACTTTGCCATATTTCAATGTATAAATGTTAATTAAATTTTATGTGAACTAATTGAAACCGCATGCTATAATCAATATCATCATTCAACGCGATTTATTGTTGATTTTAAATTATTCTATTTGTCGTACAGTTATGTAATAAGACTACATTTATAATTTATCTGATTTTTATTTTACATATTTCAAGAAAGTTGTATATTTAATTACGGAAAAAAGATATATATTATAATAAAATACAAAACAAATATAAATAACATTTTCCATTCTTTAGATTGATGCGTGTAAAATAATTTATAACATAAAATAATTTAGTGTCGTCATACCTTAATTATGACTTTTATTTATGATTATGCATTGCAATATTATTATCATATTTATTTAAAAATATTAAACTATACGCGCGTGGACTATAATTTCGAGTTATTTTTATACGGATATCATCTACAAGTCCATGTAACATCATAAATAGGTACAGTACGTTTACAATTATACGCGCTCATTTCTCACACGTGCTTCGCGCGTTTACCTTTCTATCGTAAAATTTCTCTGACGGCGCATTTGTTTCATGCTGCTTGTTCAGACAAAAACGGTGATCAAAGTTCAAATATGAGGCAATTGAAAATACTACAAATGAAACAATGTAATGTTACGAGCGAAGAACAATAAGCCTGTAACGCGGCGCATTCTCTTCCGTTTAAATTCAATATTAAACCGTAAAAAGCTTTAACTCTCGTGGAATGCTGTATTACGGCCATCATCGAAAATTAATAACAATCGCTTGTCTTTTGCGAATCGAATTACGATAGGAAATGTGCAGTAATTATGAACGTAATAAAGCTGAAAAGTATATAATAAAAGTGACATATTAAAAGCAATTCGGGTTTAATAATGAGTACTTTCAGCCAATCGAGATCACAAAGCTTTTCAGCCTGGAGTCCGTTCTCGTTTTATATATTCTTTCAGCCGCGTTTGTTGAACACATTACATATCAGCATTTTGATCTTTGTACTGATTATTCGCGTAATATCAATTTCCACCGTTCAGCCGGAAATGTCTCGTTCGATTACACGATGAGATACGTATTCGCTCGTGTTCGTCCCGTTCTCTGCTCTTCGCACGGAGGACGCGAGACGGATGGAGACAAAGAGAGGCGTAGATAAACGTAGATAAATCGGGACAAATATATATCGTCGCGTCGGGAAGACGGTGGGAAATGGAGAGTAGACCTTTTTGCATAACTTGCGTTGATAAAACGAGATTCTACCATCGGTTAGAGAAGGACGGCCGTTCCCGAGGCGTGACAAAACGCCGGGGCGTGTCAGAAAAATCGTCCACGATATCGTTGTCATTTGTGTTTTCCCAGATGCAACTGCGATATGTAGGTCATTATTGGCATACCGTCAGATTCGGGATACCTTTCGCCCTTCCGTGTACAGATAACGCCGCGATAGGTACTTGAATCTCGTCGTCGCTTTATCTCGTCTACTACGGCTTTACCAGATCGACAGAAAAATTTTCCCTTCTCGTCCGATCCGCTAATATTCCTAGAACGATTTAGAAGAATAAGTTGCAGTTATAGAATCAATTAATATTAAATGTGTAAAATGAATTCATAACTTTATGATATTTTTTGTGAAGTACAACGATCTTGAATTAATAAAGTCTTGAATCAATAAATTTATTAATATAAATAAATAATAATTAATAAATCTTTTGCAACGATTGTAACGAAGTAGTGTAGTAAAAAATTATTGGATGAACTTCATTGAAAAAATGTTGAAATATAATACAGTACAACCTCTTAAAATTAACATTTTAAACTTTTTTTAGTTTATTCTGTATTATTAAAAATTTTATTATCCTTTGATCCCCTTACAGTCAACTAATTTGACTCATACCTTATCTCGATGAAGGTAAGATCCTCGGATATCTATTACCGAAAACAGAATTTGAAGAAATTAAGCCGTTTTTTTTTTAATTTAGAAATCTTGCTGACACGGACAATTAAATCACTGTGAAATTGTAAAGTAGTTCGTTACGCTACACTACTTAATAAGTTAAATGTATTCATTAACGGCAATAAACTTTTTCTCTACATCAATTTTATTTCCTTTGAAATTTAATCAGCGTATATTTTAAATGTTCCTCAATGGAACAACATTATCATTCGCGAATAACATTCTGCTCACGAAGATTATAATCGGCAATTAACGCTCTTGTCGCTTAATGAATTCTAGATGTTTATTTGTGAAAAGCTGCCCTATCCTAAAAACTTATCTTTCTCGCAGCTATGATAATTTCTGGTTGGCATAACAAAGTAGAGAGTATGCCTTTGGCGTAAGACGGTTGACGAAGGAAAAAGCGTCACTTTATAAAAACTGTATATACCCCAAAGTAGTAAATTAAAGAGAACGAGCTAAAGAGAGTAGCATTAATAACGTTTATCGAGAAGCGCAATTAATACGCGTCGCTCGTCGCCCAAGTAAATCTCTTGACGGGACACGCCCGAAGGCAAGGAAAGCATAAGGCAGTCATTTTGAAATTTTACAACTAATCCGCAAATGAAATCTTACTCTGAGGAAAGAGGAAAAGAGAAACAGCATTATTTACATCTTTCTCAACAGACGTCTGCCGATTATACCAAAATTTTAATTAACACATCGGTCTTTTTTTGCATTCAAATTAAATCGTCAAATGCATGTTTCTTGAGTCGTAAAATCACAAAGATTAAAAATTCTATTCTACTAACCATTTTTCACCTTTCATGAAAATTCTCATTAATGCAAATAAATTTCATAAATTCTGGCACCTCTCCTATTGTATTAAAACTCGTAGAACGATGCAATGACCATTAATAATTTTCCAATAAAATCTGTTAATTATGTTTCAAAATTTCAGTCAACGCAACAATCTCGTTTTGCATTTTACCAAATTAAACCGTCAAATACATATCTCTTGACTCATAATTGTGAAATTTCAAGATTCTGTACTTCTAACTCTTGTCACTTTTCAACACGAAAGGTCTGATTAATTGCAATAATTTTAGCATCGATAAATGAAATTTGTAATATGATGTAATGACCAAAAATTTTCCAATAATATCTATTGATTATTATTTTGAAACTTTAGTTAAGGCAATCATGTTTTACATTTTATTAAATTAAAATCACACTAAACATTTACGTCTCTCGATTCGTAAATGTGAAAATTTAAGATTTCATGCTCTTAGCTTTTTAAATTTCACGTTTATAGAAATACTAATTGTTATAAATTTCGCAAATTCTAGTGCTGACAGTAAAATCCAGTACGATGATCACATCAAAGGACTACGCCGCCGCCATCGCGTTGAAAATTCTAAAACGCGTAGCAGAGAAAAAGATTCTCTCTCTTCTCGTACATACAAATCAATAATTTTGTAATGTTAATTCACGTATACAATCGAAATTTTATGTTCGTAAGCCTTTGAAGTCCATTCTTTACGGATTGTTATGAAATTGCGGCGAATTTTATAACGCCCACTATAAAATTCCCGGTAAAATTTATGTACACAGAAAAATATTTTATTGCTAAGAAAAGTGATTACTTAATTTACTTTCTTTGTTTTAATTAATAGTTATCTTTAACAAAGAATATTTTCTTGATAATAATCTTAAAATATAATACTTATAAATTTTAGAAAAGTCCATTATTCTGTACTAAAAATAAGAATTTATCTTCTTAGAAAAATATTATAAAATTGATCGAACAGACGAGAGAGAAGACTTTACATAATAAGCAAATCGAGTTTGCTTTAATTTAATAATCTTTCATTAAAGTATTAAATTTATTACGATTTAGAATATATTTTGAAGAAATGTGTGCTAGTGATGACCTCATGATGGATATATGAATTTTTGAAATAATTGAAACAAGTAGTTATTACTTGCACGTAGTATATATTTTTTGTGTGTACGGTGCAATGGTCATCAAAGAGTCGCTATTGCGATGCGTTGTAAGCTCCGAAATGTGTTGTAGCGTAGAAGAAGATCGTCCCGCTCTTCTCGCTGGGACATATAAATCGATAATTCTGCTTCCAGTCGCACCGGTGTGTAAGGAGGACCGAATTATAGTGGTCGGTGCATCACGGGGCGAGTCGCTCGACATCGCCTGTAGGGTTGAGGCCGATCCACCAGCGCACAATTTCCGGTGGAAATTCAACAACAGTGGCGAGACCCTGGAGGTAGCACCTGGTAGGTTCTCCATGGAGAAGTCGAGCGGCGTCAGCGTGCTGAGATATACACCGTCCACCGAGCTGGATTATGGTACCCTTTCGTGCTGGGCGGACAATCTCGTCGGTACCCAGTCGAGGCCGTGTCTTTTTCAGCTGGTAGCAGCCGGTGAGTATACACGATAAACTGCAGCCTAGAGGGACTTTACGGGACGTAATATTGCAATCTTCTCCGAACAAATTGATCGGACGCAGGGTATTGACACAAATTGTTTATTAACCAACAATTCGTATAGGATATGTTTGTCCTTCCATTTCAATGTATCTATTTTTATTATGTTTTCAAATGACGTCGAGGAATAGCGATAAAAATCAAGTTAATCTATATAAATACGAACTAGCAATCAGTAAATAAATAATTGTTTTATTTTCGCTCCATCTCATTAAAAATACTTCTTTATTTTTAGGAATAATAGAAATGAATAAAAATAAAAGTCTCAATGAATATTTAAAACTGTTTGTCGGTAGAATATTCTGTGGTTATTGCATTAGAAATTATTGAATTGTAAAACTGACGTACTTGGTCGAAATTGTGAAAATTTCTATATTTAAGGAAACAATGTAGAACACTGCGAGAACTACGTAAATAAATAGATGATTAAAATATGGTGTGCAATCTTTTTAAAGAAACGTGCTCGACATTTAGTTTCCCGAAATCGTGGAATAATACTGAAGTTCAACAAAAGCGGAATCCACGCTACCGTGATTTCATAATAAATTCTCCGCCGAGTTTGTAAAATTAGGTGCATTTTTAATCGCGCGAGCTGTCCACGTAAAAATCGTCAAAAGCGCGCGGCGCGACGACAATTGAAATGCAAAATCGCCGCTGTTTTTACGGAATCTCTTGGGGGTGGAGGGGGGGGTGGGGGACGCGGCGCGCGATTCTCGCGAATCATCGCCGTACAATGGGAGGCGACCAATCATCGACCGTTAAATCGGCATTAATCCCCAAGCGAATTTTTTCGCGTTCCTCGTTCTCCTTTTTTTCACTCTCCTCCCCCGTCCAGTGCGTGATCGACAGTGACGTTGACATGGCGATCGGCCGAGGACGTATTGACGTTGACGAATACGTCGAGTGTGAGCGGCACCGGGGGTGTGCCCCTCTCATCTCTCCCCCTCCCCTTCCTCTTCCTCCCCTCCCCCCGAAAATAAAATCGTCCTCTCGCGCACTATCCGCTTCTTTGCCTCGATATCGAAACCCTCTCGCGGTGCTCCAGCAATGCCAACGACCCGTAAACCCGATGGCATGATATTATTTTTGTACCCCAATCCGTCCCACTCTTCCTGCCTCATCCCCCGACGTTATTGATGTCGGTTAGCATTCCACGAAGCATTTCGGTAAGAAATATATCTGTCGAAGCGTGAAAGAACGGTAGAAAGAAGGGATTTCCGGAACAGGGTCTCGTGTCAGAATCAAGGATCACGTTAGATTCCTCTCGTTACGCATATCAAATGTACAATTGAAATTCCGGAGCATATTGAAATTTACGATCACTGAACGCATGAATGAAACAAAGATATTCCATTCTATACCGAAAGTTGCGGTAAAAATAAATAAATTAAGAAATACCTATTATTGCTCCAAAGGAATTTTTAAAAAGAATAAGATATTGTAGATAAAATATGTATTTGCGCTTTTACTAAAATATATAATATTAAACATTTATGGATGTAATGCGAGATTCATCATTTTGGAATTAAAAAAAAATATTACGATATTGGGGAACTGAATATAAAAATAAACTGCACGTATTTCTGGTTGCTGTGGTCATATCATATTATATGCGTTTGTAGTTGGCGTTCTGATTTTTCACCAAGGCTCTTTCGCATTGAAAAATATAGGAAAAATATGCCATTTTGCGAGTCATTCAATTTGAACTTAGCCGTCCTTCTTTGCTCGCAAAACTAATTTGAATTTGCCTCTACCCCGACGGTGGTGCCCTTTTATGAGCACGAAAGCACAGGTTTCAAATGTTTGTTCGTGGAGAATGAATGAGGTTCGAGCTATGTGGCAAAGACATAAGAAAAGGGCAAAGACGAACGAGGAGAGAACAAGCGCGCGTAAAGTACAAACGAAGCATTGTCGTGATTCAATATACGTTCTGTAAATCCGCGAGTTATAACGAGAAGAAGAGGAAGGACGACAACGATGACGACGAACTTTGTGATAAATGAAATCCCGAGCGAAACGAGCGCGTTGGATATCGAAATTAGATAAGGGAAGAAGGAAAATGTGCGCGTACGACACGTAAGCCACGCGGAACGAAACGAGCGGTATCCATCCTCCTCGCCGTCTTCACGATTTCCGGTAAGAACGATGCGCGAGAAATGATTTCGACCGAAAGAAGAAAAAACAACGCGACGAGAGGAGGAAAGAGAGCAGCGTGATTCCGACGACGGGGAAGATGTGTCATGTTGAGGTGGTAGTCTGCTCAGACGGAAGTGTGGGAAGAAAAAGAGAGCGGAACACATCTCTACGCCCATTACGATCTTGGTACACTAAATCTTTGCCACTCGTGGACACGCGAGCATTTTTCACTCGCGCGCCGGGCTTGATTTCCGAAAGAACGACCCAAGCCAACCTGTGGAGCCGTTTTCGGATGTATAGACCCGTACAAGGTGTCCAGAAAATGTTACGAGACGGAAGTGGCGGTCGTGCGTGTCTCCGAGAAAGATTTAGTGTAGGTATGCAGCGACCGCGAAAAAGAAAGAGGGAGAGAAAGCCTCTCTTTTGTCGAAGCTCCATTTTTAGTTTTACACGGGTGAAGCTATTTCAGCTGTACAAGTCGCATAATATATGAGCCCCGTCGTCGTCTTCCGCCCCGCTAATTTACATCATCGACCACTCTCATTCCAGGGAAACCGTTTCCTGTGCGCAACTGCACCCTGGCGAACCAGACATATACCAGCGTGGAGGTGAAATGCGTGCCTGGATACGACGGTGGACTGCCGCAAAAATTCGTCCTGGAGGTTTATCACGGCGATGTCGACTACCTAGCCAATAGCCAGCCCCTCTACAATGTTTCCAACCCGGACGAGCCATCCTTCGCTCTCGCTGGATTGGAGGCCTCGGTGGAGGCTGGAGTCCACGTGGCGGTTTACGCGGTAAACGCCAAGGGTCGAAGTCAACCCGTTATCCTCAGTGAGGTCACGTATCGAGATGCCGAGAAGCGTACTGGTAAGTAAGAGTTCAGAAGTAACATTTGATTATCGCAAACGTATCTCGCTGCATTTGTCAAATCAAATCGGCGATCCATCGTTTGATCGGCTACGTTCTATTCGCTATTCTGATAGAACTGCATTCTATAATTGCTCACGTCGATTATCTTACATGTGCAGAAAGAGATAAAAGTGATTTTGAGCTGTCCTTATTTTGGTCCACACTATAAAAAATATAAATGCAGATTTAACATGCGGTGTCTGTATAGTTCTCACGGTGTTAACCCTTAGTGTACACCTTAGTTTTTGACACCCTTATTACACACGATCCTGAATTAATTTTCATCCCTTTTACAAGTATATAAAAATTATTAGGCAATTTTATAATTTGACATCTTTAGAAAGTTGTATATTTATAATAAATTATATATAAATTTATATATAATTGTTGTGTATAATATTGTTGTATATAAATTGAAGAAACGAAATGCGGAGGACACGAATGACCCAAAGATGTGTGTTAAGGTTAATATTAACACCAACATAGTATAGATTTAAAACTTCTGATGTTTATATAAATACCATCATGATGTAGATTTAAAACTTCGAGTGCTATAAATCCACACCTATATTTTTTAGGATGCACCTGTGCATATATATGCGTACTGTAAGTATACCATGTGATCCGATTGTATCACGGCTATATATCATGTGATTTATATGTGTGAGTACCTGGACCAAAAAATGGAAGGCACTGCTTGATATTAAACATGGCGACGAAGTGAGCAGTCTAGTGGAGATAAAAAAAACTTCCTTAATCCTAGATCGACAATCTCGGGTTATGACTCATCGGGAGGTTTAACGTGGTATTAAATTGCACGTGAAGTTTTGTAATACGTCTTGTTCTTGTGCAAGGATATTCCTAGCCAGGCAGCGCGATACGCAGTGAGTTGGATTATCGCGACGACAGGATGAAAAATCGCGTATCGTCTATCACTTAGTCAACGCGAGGTCGAATGAGGAGGCGTTGTTGAGGAAAAGTCAACCGAGTTCAACCCTACTCAATTTAGCGAGCATTTGCGATTGCCTGGAGATTAACGAAAGGTACTGGTCGAGTACACGGATCGACGCAAGGTCACCATAGGTTCATGTGGGTCTTTCAGGCGGGGGAAGATGATTCGGATAACGGCTGTTCTCGAGGTGGGTGGTGTCAACGACGCGGGGCGGTAAGCAAGACAGATCACCACCCTCGAGACATTGTTACGAGACGAACGCACCACACCCCATTAGACGTTCGTATATATTGCACAACGCTCTGCTTATCAAGAAAAACCCATAAACGTGTTGGAATTAACGTCAAAGTAGATTGAATATTTTATTTTTCTTAACTACAGAATTATTCGATTAATTCTCTGTGTGGTGTTATAAAATACATATTCATTTTTGTGAAAATGCGCGATGTTTATATAAAAACATTCCCTTCTATAATTGAACTTTATAAAATTTTGATAACGCTCCAAAGTTAAAAGAGAAAAAATATGAGGTTCTGTGATACCGCGAAAGTAATTATTAAATACCAGATATTTTGTTTTCACCGCATTATTTTTTAACCAGATTTATCAATTTAGAAGTTTTTATATACAACAAAGAAAATTACCATTTATTGCAATTTCCAATTTTCATTGTTATGCATTCCTTAAATTAAGCTTTGAATTAAAATTTTCTCGTTATTTTGTTGTTAGTGCGAAAAAGTATCACTGCACATTTATGAAATAAAATCACGAGTTTTACGTAATTTTTATTAATCAAATAATTATCACTGACTATAATTTTCTCATTCTTCAAAGAAGAAAACTCTTCTTTTACCCTAATATTATTCGTAATAGAAAATCTTTTGCACTTTAATTTAAAACAATACAAGGAAAGCGGCAGAAAGTGAAGACAAAAATATTCAAATCCAGAATGTCGACCGTTGATTATTTTCATTGTAAAATGTGAGCGTAGAGATAGGTGTATCTCAACGCAACGGGAGTACAAGGTAACGCAACGAGAACGTGGCGAAACGTTACGAGCGCGTCACGTTGCGTATCATTAAACACGGTGGCAAATGAAGCCGCAACCAACGCGCGTACGCAACACAACGTAGTGTTACGTGCACGCGCATTCTCGTAAACAGTAGTTCTCGCAGTGGCCCGAGGTAAAACGGAGCAGCACCCGAATCAATTGTCAGTGAAGTGATTTACGGTCGTCGCAGCGTCGATCAATTTGCCGCTCGATGTCGGTCCGCCGCGGCTTTTCCACGTGACTTTTGACCCCGTGGCTACGGGCACCCGCCAGTCCGCGTGCTCAAAAAACAAATTGAGGAATCTGCATTCGAACGCGATCCGAAGGAGATTCTGGTCACCGCGGCGCGATTTATTTCCGGTATCGATCACCCGAAGAGACAACCGTCGCCCGGGATTCTCTATCCCGTTCTGTACTGTTCGTCGTTTATGCACGAAGACTTTCTGGAAGGAAAGCTGCGGCCACCGATTTTAGAAAAGACTGCTAATCCATCTTGCGTGGAAAGATTAAGGGGAGTTATTGGACCTCGTGAAAAATCGTGTAAATCGTAATGTAGTATCCATGGCGAAACACGACGTGCCACGACGGATTTGAACTTTCCACGCGATCCCACACAAGCCGAGGTGGCACTTAAGCCGTTTCTAACTTATTACGCGAATTCTTTTTTTTTTCTTGTTCCACCACATAGGCAACGAACATCGAATTAAGGAAAGCAATTACAGATAATGGTCCCAGCGGCACCCAGCGCCGGGACTGTGCGGAGGACTTAGGGAGGAAAAAGGGAGTAAGGCGGAACTGCGAAGGATGGAGAAAAAGGAAAGCCTATCCAAGAGAGATACGAATGTACAGGGTGGTCATTAAGCAGCTGCAGCTTTCCTTTCTCTTCTTTCTTGTGATATCTCTCTTGTTCCTGACCTCGACCGTTCTCTTTGACTTCTTTTTTCTCTCCTTCCTTCTTTTTCTCTTTTCATCTTCCTCTCCCTATATCTCTCTTATTCGCCCCATCTCTCTCTCTCTCTCTCTCTCTTCTATGCTCATCTTTTTGGACATTAAGCCGTTGCGCGTGCGGTAATTTTCCCGGGGTCATTTTTGCCGCTCTTCTTGCCCGATCGTTAACTTCACTTAGCTCTGTTTACCTCCGTCGTCATTTTTCTCGGTCCTCCCTCTGCCCCGCACTCCTCCCTCGTCTGTCCCATCCCCCTTTCCTCGTTCCCCGCTCATATTCCCGTCCGGTTTCGCGCTTCTCGTTTCCACGGGTGACCTCGTCAGACGTCGCCGAAGCGCCACATCTTTCCACGTGCGCGCCGCTACGTTTTCCCTTCCATTTCCGTTTTTATCGCGTAACCTCGCCCGGTTATTTCGTCCCCGACGGCGATGGCGGTCGCCTTTTTTTTCACGGTCTAGTAGGAAAGTATAATTAGCACCGTCCTAGCGTACCCGCGTTTCTCACCAAAAGCGATTTCCTTCGAAGTTTCGCTTTAAATGTACACGATCCCTTTCATCGTTGAGGCGAAAATCGTAGGATAATGGATCGGCAATGCATTGGAAAAGCGTTCTCAGATTTCGACGATTACTGATATCGAGAAATGAAAACGGGAGTTGACCCGCCCTAAGCCGACTTGTAAACTCCAACTTAAGCATCTACGTCGCGTAATCGGAAAGTTTGGAAATTGGTCCTGTTAAATGTAAACTTTATCGATTATCGATACGAGCTTTTAATCTCCATCGTAATAGTCTTTTTCCGTACGTTCGTTCCAGCGGTTTTGCCATTGTTTGGAAGTTGCATCTTTTTTAACCGTTTTACGAGAGCGGCATCATTTAAGAAATGCTATAATCGATCGCGAATCGGTATGCAATAATAAAATGCGGAGGAACGGCGTGTAATGATGAAATTTTTCCGGTTTTGTAATACGTTATTAACTTCTCACAACGACAATCCTCATCCGAGATGTTTGAGAAACTGTCGCTCGAAAGCCTGCGCGAATTTTAACTAGCAGTTTGCGCTTGACGGAAAGAAGATTGTTCGAGGGATTGCTAGTCGCTCGTGCGGCGATATTTATTTCTTTCCCGTTTCTCGTATAGACCTTGGAATTAAACATAGTTATATATAACAAATGTTGTATAATATGAACTCCGAAACCTGATTCTTTAGACACTCCTTTAAAAAAAAAAATAAAGCGGAACGAATGAAATCCTACTCGAATAATGTAGTATCAAGAGTAATCACTTGATTGCAATTCAGTTTAGGTACCTTCTTAAAATAATGCACTAATCTTCCTCGAATTTCGAACCGAAAATTTCACAAACGAATGTTCCATGTTATAAAATTATATCTAATTTACAGCGAACGTTGCGAAAATTTTTAATTACTTTGAAAATTAAAAGCACGATTCACATCATGCGTACACATAGACTAATAACGTTTTTATCTATAATGAACACGGTCCTTTGTACTCAAAATTATAAATGTCGTGACGTTTATAATCAATTTACACGTAATTAACTTAGCCTGGAAATACATTGTCTTTTTTCTTTTTTTCTCTTTTAAGTTGAAGAAATGTGCTGGGTAGATTTATTATTCTCTTCCGCTTTACCTACGAAAGACAATTATTTTAAAAAATGCTATTCGACTGTGTTGATTTAAGCTGCTTTTATATGGTAATTCGTAAATCGCAAAACGTAGTTCGCAGACGCAGAATAACGAATTACCGCACATAAGATACACGCAGATGCAAATCAACCGCACGCAATGAATTAAACTGCAACAGTGTTGCTTTTTGGAAGCGTTAACATTTTAATATTTAAGTCGGTTTAGAGAAACTTATTATGTTTCTGATATTTTCCGTATCATGGAAATGTATAAAAAATCTGACTCTGCTAATAAATGAGGAAATACAAAATTCATTTCCATTACTTTTTGCCGTTCTATCATTAGTCAATTCATTGCAGAAATTAACGTGACA